ACTGTGTGTAAATCGAAGGTAGTATATATTTAAAATTGAGTGTAAAATATGTTTTTGATAATATGTGGAGTTGATCTTACAATTTTTCTCCATTCTTTTTATTTTTAATTTGCCGTCATATGGAAAACCATCAACAATCATAAATCCTTTAGAAAAACCTTCTTTAGATTCTTTGAAACTATGTTTTAAGATTTTTTTCTCCGTTTTGATGATAATAAATGGATCCTTTTTTTATTGAATCATGTAAGTACGCCCAGATCTTTTATTTCTGGGAACATTTTTCCATTTTTATCGGCATAAATGTTTCTTATGAGAAATTCTGCAGCACGTTCTGCGTTCGGCGATATGTCGCGGAGAAAGACGATGCACATTAAGGTTTTTACCTTTTTTAAGATTCAGATAAGCATTAATCACTTTGTTTACAATTTATGTTGATCATTTTAATGATTCTGCAGCTGGTCTTTTGACTTGGCGGATTTTCCTTTAACATTAAAGATCTTACTTTTGCAGCATTCGAAACGCTCCGTTTTTTCCTTCGATACGTATTTGGAACAATATTTTCCACCTGAAGCTAAATTTTGACGTTGTTTTCCTTTGTTCGTGACAATATTACCTACCGTAATATAACTTATAAAAAAATCATGGTTTTCACAACGTTTATTCAATGACTAGATACGAATAATTTTTTTCGGAAAGAACATAGTCTTCTATCCTTTGCTTCTTTAAAAGCGACATGAAACAAAACTGTCAAATAGCAGACGAGAATTTATAATTAAAAAAAAAAAAATCTAGTTAAAAAAAATTGCCCAGCCAAAGATTTTTTCCCCTCCAGCAAGGCAAACTCTTCTTAAAAATCTGCGAATATCCTCTGTATATTGCTTTTTGGACCTGGAACATAAACGTGTCAACTATTTTAACGCATTATTTTCCATCTTTAATATGTCTGTAAACTGTGGAAAATATATAAAAAATTAGAAAGAGGGGCATAATGAGACAAAATTACAGAACATGGATAGGACAAGATAAGCTATTATGGAGGTAATGATTTTAAATTTTACTTATATAATGTAATAAATGTAAAATGATTATAAGTTGAAATTAATAATTTCAGTACACTCTATAACATAAAATTCCTCAATGATTTTGTTAGCATAAGGATGAATTTAGAGGTCTAAGTGGAGTTACTATGTGATTCATTTGGTTCATACAGAGAAATTCTGAGCAGAAAAATTTACCTGTTTGATATATTAGAGCATCAAAGTGATAATCACAAGTCATAAAGCATCAAAGAGATAATCTGAGCAAAAAATATTGAAATCATATCTAGACCTTTGCTTATTTGACCTAAACCCCATGAAAAATGAGGTATTGTTTCTTTTATTGTTTACCAAAATGAACAGAAATTTTTTAATGATGCAGTGCTGAAAACTGAATAACTCAAACGTATAAGCTATAAATATGGATAAAATTTATTGATTCTACTCTAGATTGCGATTTTGAGACGGTAAAAAGTGAGGTAATTACACTTTTCACATATAAATTAAAAAAGTATTTAGAATTAACGTATTAAAATTTAATAACTTTTTATAATGTTAAAATATGAAAATAAAATAATAAATTACATAAATGTAATATAGTATAATAATAAATGATATACGAGTGACCCAAAAGTCCGCTAACATTTGAAAATTCAATAATTAACGAAATAATGTACACACATGCTTGATATGACATGGGGTTTTATTCAAAGAAAAAAAATAAACAAAAGGCTAACTTACGGCGTTGGGCAGCAAAATATGAGAGAGAGAATCAATCAGTCCCTTCATAACTTAGTCATTTTCTATCCTTGGCTTCGCGTGTTGGTGGTGAGTGTGATGTGGATTAATCACATTAATACCCTTTGCTTCGAGCAAATTCGTGATTCTGCTATTCAAATTTTTAGTGTGACGGATGCGAGATACGCTGATATGTTACAGAATCGCATCATCCCTAGTCTCGCTGATAAACACCTGTCGGAAGGTATGACTTGTCGAAAGGTTAGTTAGTTAGTTCTAAGCACTGGCCCCCAGCCCACCTAGTAGGCGAAACCTGCCATATGGCTATGAGGAGACAGGCCAAGCCACAAAGGCATAACCAAAAAAAAAAAAAAAAACGTAAAGTAGATACCTACATTCTAAGCACTCCCGGTGAATTAGTATATAAACGCGTCGTTTCCCTTTCTGACTTTTTTTTTTCTGAAGTTTAAAATCTTTATAAAGTTTTACTTTCAATTAGTTATTATTATTCAAATCTTCTTATTATCAAAATCATCTAAATTTATAAGTTACCTCAATTATTTCTGTTTTCAGTAGATTTTCTGCTTTGTTATATCTCGTACCAATATTCTTCCTATTCTATTCACCGTTGCATAATATCTCTTGCAAATTTTCTAACAATTATAATTACTAATAAATCCTCAAACTGCGCAAATTATATTTTTCTCTCACACTTCCATCAGGCAACAGTCCTCACGAATCATGTAATCGCCGAATTATACAAACTTTACATATATCATTTTCCTGAGTGGAACCTTTTAAGTAAGCAGGGAACCTTCCATGTGCATGAGAATTTGATTAACATCTGCATCTCCTAAAATTCCCATTTTTTTGCTAATTTTAAAATTTTAGATAGCTTTTTTTCTTTCTTTCAGAGAGATCCCATATATTTTCCAGTCTCTATAAGCTTGTCATATATTATAGTACATGTCTTCTTTTTCGAATCTTGAATAAAAACATTTTCGGTCCCAACCCCCAGGGAGGCTTCTTTCGCTAGAGCAACTTGTCGAAAGGTATGCAGGGTGGCTCTCCACCCCATATCACTATACGTCTGAGAGATCTCTTGTACACATTGTTTGGTGAGGATCGCATGCTGAGCCGCCATTTCCGTCATGCTTGGTCTCCAGGTCCCCAGATCTCATTCCGTGTGATTATTGGTTGTAGGTTACTTGAAATCGCTAGTCTACCGCAATCGTCCGACCTCACTTAAAAGACAATATCTGACGCCAGTTTCTCACCATACCTACAGATATGCATATGTCACTAATTGAAAGAGGATGTGCAATTGGACTAAAGGCAGCAAAGTGATTAAATCATAGAATCTCTAAACATTTGGCGTCGGAGCATTAGACGATGTTGGCAGAAATGGGTGAACCATCGATATACAAAGCGCGTCAAGAAGGTAGCAATCAACCGACAACTACAACAGATTGCGAGAACAGTGATCTTCTGATCGGCGCCTCTATCCCTAATGCATGCTTATCAACGATCCCCGTGTAACTAGGGCATCACTGACTGCAATGACCATCAATAGCGCAACTCGAACGGGGTTTGAGGCCACGTAGGCAAATTGCTACGACTACCCCTCATCACTGCACATCACCAGGCACGTTTGTAGTTGTACCGACCTGGGATCTCATTGACGGGAATAGAATTGTTTTCGATGTTTGAATGATTCCTGCTTTGAACTAAGCCCAAATGACCAACGAAGACGTGTCTGGAGACGTCCAGGACAGCGGCAGGATACTCACCTGACTGTCGTTCACTTCGCAGCCTAAGAACCAGGAGTTATGGTGTACGAGTTTCGTTTGATAGCCAAACCCCTTTGTTGTCACCCATGACTTCATAACAGCACAGCGGTACGTCGACGCGATTCTCTGCCCCTTAGTGTTGCCTTCTTTTCACAGATCTGTGGGGTTACATTTCAACGCGATTAAGTCCGGCCGCACACGTGCCTTCCTTTTGCTGCTTGTCTTCGTGCTTCTCCAACACTTCCCTAGGTGTCCGCCGAAAGCATAGCGGTCAAAAACGTCGCGGCGAAAACAAGGCAAGGCGAAAACGTCGTGATATAAGACATCGTGGGAAAAAAGCAAAGAGAAAACAGCGCAGTTCTAAAACATCGTGGTACAAAATATTATCACCGAAAAAAAGCGTTTCAAATACTTCGCAGTTTAAAAACATAGTCGTCGAAAATATCGTGGTAAAAAATAAAGTACCTACAAATCATACAGAACTTAATAGAATTTTAAATTCATATAGTTAATTTACAAAGGTCGTTAATAAATTGATCTTTTTTATAAAGTTTTACTCATAATTTTTCCTGAAAAATACAGCCTAAAATGTTTAGAAAAAGGAAGATAAATAACTGCATGAGGTTACCCATATCAAAATTGCTTAGTTAATTATCAAATTACTTTCTTTCACGTTTGCTGATCTGATATTGTTTTGTCATATTTTTATTATATTGGTGAAAATTATATCTTGTTTTGTTTCCGTTTATTCTTAAAAATTTTGGTTAACATTTCTTGCGCTTCCAAATAAATCTTTATGCGAATACCCGCTAGATCTAACCTGACGACTTCAAAAATCGTCCCTTCTCTAACTCGGTCTTCGGCTGGAAATCCTGGCTCGACTTCTACTCTTTGTGTAACAAATCTTTTACATCTTACACATTTTCTGATAATATTTCGAATACTTTTCCTGGATTTTAATATCCAAAATTTTTTTCTCAGATTTGTCATTAAAGTGCTGATACCAGCATGCTGGAGTTCTAGACGTTTCTCATAAATTAGTCCCTGAACAAGAAGGTGTTTTAAAGGTAAAAATGATAGGATATCGGAAATTTTCATCATCTTGACGCTGTAGGACGTTTGGCTCTGAAAATTCCATTTCGGTCTACGATTGGTCTAAGCGCACGAATAGTGGGGTCTTTTATGCCTGTGAATGATTCTGTTCCAATCTACAGAGTGTCTTTTCAGCATTCTCAAATTCATCATCTGAGATATCAGGGGTTAGGTTTTTCTCTTCGTTCTTTAAATTATGATAAAATCTGAAAATCCAAGCGATCATTCTCACGGTTTTCCTATATGAAGAGAAATATTTTTAGTACCAGTCCAAATTCTCTCCATGGTGTAGAAGATTCAAAATCATTTTTCTTTGTTCATAAGTTCTCATCAAACTTTTCTTCTACGTGGGCTTTTCATCTTCTGGTAGGTAAAAGCCACGAGGGACCTCCCACCATGACGATTTCTCTAATTGCTCAATAGTACATCCTCTCGATGGGAGATCCGCTGGATTTAAACTTCCAGGTACATGCCTCCTGTCAGATATTCCGGTAAGCGATCTTATTTCTTGTACTTGAGTGTGAACAAACGTACCCCATGCTTGATCTCTTCTTATCCACCGCCAAGCTGTAGGAGAATCACTCCAGAACACTATTCTACAATTCTTCAAATCTGATAATCTGATCTTCAAATCTGATAGAATTGTTTTGGCGAACCTGGCACCTATTATACAGGAGAGAAGTTCAAGATGTGGAATCGTAATTTCTTTAATTGGGACTATTCGACTTTTCTCGCTTACTAACTGAACCTTTACACCTTCGATGGTTTCAGCTCTTAAAAATGGACATGGGACATGCTGCATAGGCTCTTTTACTAGCATCCGAAAAAACTTGGAGAACTACGGTATCTTCGTTTTCGAAGTCAATATTAAACCATCTAGGAATTTCTATATGGGATAACAGAGGTAATTGGTTCACTCAAGTCCCAAACTGCTCACTTAGGCACGTCCCAAACTCACACAGGAAGATTATCCCACTTAATCTTCTGGTTCCAGGTTTCTTGCAAAATCAGCTGAGGAATTACAATTATCGGTGCAGTAAAGCCAATAAGATCCAAAATTTTTTGGGTAGTTGATAAAACTTTTCTTTTGGTAATAGGTTCCCTTAAGTTAAATGTTTCTTCGATCTTGCAACTCAAACTATTCTTTTCTAAATCCCATACTAATCCAACTGGGACAACTTTCGTCGTGTTCTCTATCTCATCGATCATGTCGATGCGAAAATTTCATCGCCAACATCTTAAATTGAAATGCCCGGATTTTCTTGAAACAGACAGAGATTTCCATTCTCATGATTGTCGTTGATAAGGATTCCTCTTTTTTCCATTACTTTACTCAACTTTTCGTCTTTGATCTTAGGTAGTGAGGAACAAATTATTATCTGGTCTAGTGCTTCGACTTAACACCTGTACTTTCCATCTAAAACAAGTTAAATCTATTTGATAACGATTATGATCTTCAGAAACTTCTACAGAAGCTTGTCTGTGTGACAAACTAATTAGCGAATTATCGAGGTAAAATGAATCTTTCAAAATATTAGAAGTTTCTACAAACTTTTCTGGGACTGTAGTCAAAAGGTGACTTAAGTGTTGCGGCTAGCAGAAACAGACGTGATGTGAGTCCAAAAACAATTCGGTTATGTCGGTAAATTTTCAAATTATGTTGATTATCGAACCATAGAAATCTTAAAAAATCTCTATCCTTTTCTGCTATTTTGATTTGACAAAAGGCCTTTTCGATGTCAGATGACACTCCTATCCGATATTTTCGAAAACGATTTAATATACGTACCCACATAGCACAAAAACATCCTTGGGATATCCCAAGGATGTTGCTCGCGGGATATGTGCACAGCCTCAGGACATCCCGGAATATCCCACAAACCTCCTAAACACCTCCTCCCGAGTGCTTAATGTCACATCCCGGGATATCCTCAGGACATCCTAACTAAGTCCCATCGACAGCGTGCGGGATGTTATTAGGATATGAACTCCTACTTACTACATCCTCAGGACATCCCACAAACCTCCTAAGCACATCCCATTATATCCTAAAAAACATCCTATCTATGTCCCATCGACAGCATATGGGATGTTATTAGGATTTAAAGTCCTACTTACTACATCCTCAGAACATCCCGTAATATCCCAATTTGCTCCTAAACTCATCCTTCTGAGCGCTTAATGTCACATCCCAGTATACCCTTAGGACATCCTATCTACGTCCCACCGACAGCGTATGGGATGTTATCAGGATTTGAAACACTAGTTACAATATCCCTTTAACCTCTTAAATACATACTCTCAACTGCTTAGTGTCACATCCCAGTATATATACAGAGGAAAATTCCAGTGAAAGTATGTGAAGGTGCGATGATCTAAAACCTACTTTTTTTTACACAGATAGTCTCAAATCGTTCTCCTATGGTTACTATGGAAAATCCGAAATGTTTTGAATATTTATACAACTTATTTTGTTTTTTAAATCTGAATTGTGGAATATATTAAAACTGAGCAAAGAAATTAAAATTATTAATACAAAACATTAAAACTGAAAATTTTGCTTTTAAGATATTAAAAATCTTTTGATCATTTTTAAACATCCAATAGCCCCAAATTGAATTATTCATAATTAAATTATTTTACAAAATCAGTTTCTAATTTCAGTTTAATTTGTATTAAAAATTGAATAATAAAATTACCCATTTAATAATCTTTACATAAATGAATCATCTTTCTTTAAACATGTAAGGAATTTATAGTGGTTTTGATGACACTGTGGGAAATTGTTAAAAGGAAAAATTGTATTTTTAAAACTAAATCATTCCTAGCCTCAGAATAAATAATAATGTTTTCATAACATGAGAATGCTGCAGGCTTTTTTATATATTAAATATTTAGTTGTAAAAATTTGACATTATGTTAACAGTTCTTTATATCATTCAAAAGGTAACTCAAGAAGCTCTTCTAAAATTCTATCTTTCTGCTCACACAATTAAAAAAAAGCCCTCAGATTTTAGCATTCACTCAAAGAGGCTAAAAGTTTATGAATGCATAGATTATCAATACAGATGGGACAGTGGAAATAGCAAAACATTTTATAAGATACTGACACCAGAAAGTTATATATCTTCTATATATTTGAAAAATGAAGAATATTATCATGTAATTATGTAGAAATATTAAAATGTTTTCAATTAGATTATCATGAATTAAATGCATTTTAAATCAATGGATTAAAATTAAAGGATGTTAAGAACTGTGGTGTAATGCTTTTAAATAGCTTGGCTTGTTAGTCAATAATATATTAGATTTTAAAGGTAATATGTTAAATTTTGCCAAATGGCAAGACTTGAATGAAAAAGCGAAACAAGTTTACGACTGACGATATGAAGTCACTTTCAAAACTAATAGCCCTTTTAGATTAAAAAAAAAAGTTCTGAAAATAATTTGGAATGGTTCATTGGTATTATTTTACGCAAAATTCAGTAAAATGAAATTTACCCGTTTAAATCAGCACCAAATTAAACTTTGTAAATTCTAGCGATGTTAAAGGTGCTCTCCAGAATATAACCATTCATTTCAGAGCAAAAT